GATTTTAGAAATATAATAAATCATATAATTATTCTGGTTATAATTTTCTGTTCTAAAACTAACAGATTAGTTTAACATGCAAGAGAGGCTGTTCCAACATGAAATGAAGGGGCATAAAAATTGTAAAACGTGCCCACAACTTACAGGCTTATCATTTTAACCTGTGAAAGGATACTTAACTTGATGTCACACTTGCAACACATTGTGTTGTAATTTACTGAAGTGTTCCTCAGGCAAGACCATATCTAGTAATTTGCAGTCAAAAGAAGGCTACTATCACTAGGTTTAACAAAAACAGCTGAAATTGCATTTTGCCTGTCCTTGGCTTCAGTCCAGAGCTGGCTTCCAAAAATGACATTTACTTTTAGTTGTAGCTAGCGAAAGTGAAAGAAGGATGATTTCAGCAAGTATCCTGGCTTACAGACGATTTCTGTCTTTTCTATTTGATGCTCTATATTTCTCTTCTCGACTGCCTTTAGGTCTCTAGTAAATCCTCTTTTCCAGCTGTTCAATGACACAATAAGAAAGGTAAACAAGCCCAAATGACAGACAGAAGCTCATCCTTTTGTCAGGCGCACACTGAAGACAACCAGCCCACTGTCTCAATAACAGCCTCACTGCACTCTAAGGGAAGCATTCTCATGATCAAATCTCATCTGGAAGGTCTCATCTCTTAATTTGTTATAATGGGAGTTAAATATCAATATGAATTTTGGAGGGGACATTCAAATCATAGCATATGCTAGCATTAAACTGAGTTTGGATCACACTATCCATACTAATAAGTGACATGATCAATAACAACATAATAGAAAACATCAGAGATAAGTGACAAAGAAGCATTGATGAGGCAAAAACATAAACAGCGAAGATTAAAAGATGAGGACTGACAACAAACCCACAAGAAAATAGCTGGCGTTCAGCTTCCGAATGAATGGCTAAAAGGCTGCGTGAGCCTAGGAAGAAAGGAGGACCCAGGCAATGGCTAACTTAAGATTTGTGGGGATAATTTTCCATAAAAGTGTCTGAAACAAAATGAAGCCACTTTTTTTCAAGCCACATCCAAAAATAATACAACAGAAAGGTTATAAAGGAAGGGATCTCATGTGTGCTTGCCTGCAAAACAAACAAACAAACAAACAAACAAACAAAAAACCTGTTTACAAAAAACTCTGCCAAAACCACAATCTTGTGCAAAGATTGTTGAGAAGCAAATGCTTCTCCAAGACATGTGCCTCAAAGCTGTCCAATGCCAGGCTGATGCCACCCTTGCTACTGATGCTTGAACACCCTTGATTTTCACCCTGTGGCCAAGAATTATTGTACAAGAACAACTTACTATCTTCTTCATTTTGATTTAAATTTTTTTTTTGCCTCAGCCTCCTGAATATGAGCATATTTTGCTATGACATTCATGCTTCCATTATGATGTAATGGAAAGAGAAATTCCTTAGTTCATGACCAATGTCCTTGGTAAGTTTAAAGCGAGCCAAAGAAAGAACTACATGTGAGCATACAGAAATCATAGTGAGAGGACAAGCATGTGATCATGGTTCTCCAGAAGGGGTCAGGTTTGCTGGTAATGTGATGTCAGATCTCTGGGCTCTGGAATAACGATAGAACACATTTCTATCGTCCTAAGCCACTCATGCAGTAATACTTTATTATAGCAGTCTGAAGATATGAAGACACTAATGAGTGGGTGAAAGAAGAAATAAAACATGAAATAGAAAAATATTTTGATATGTATAAAATGATATACCAGAGCTTATTAAATAAGGAAAAATATAACCACCATATAAAAATTCATACTTTTATTTATACTGGAATCCAGTTCCAGTTGTAAATGGGAAAATTGCATTTACAAAAGACAAAAACCATAATGTAATCCATATAATTTTTATCAAAAAAGCTATGGGATAGCTGTAAACAAACTGCAAAATTTTATTCATGACTATAAAATCATACCATCTTTCTATTTTCATTTTAAGTTAAAAAAACAAATGTAATATAACTGTGCTTAAAATGTCAATGAGAATATTATGGGTTGAAATATCTGAAGCAGACTGTCTTTTTAGATAGTCGTGATAAAAAAAAAATGAAGGATCACAGTATCTGATAATTTACCTCAAAATTGCCCAGTCAAAAACTAATAAGACACATGATAAAATGTTAATAATTTTTGAATCTAGGTAGAATGAGCATATATTTGATTATTTCTATTTTTTAGGTAAGGTTGAATTTTTTCATATAAAAATTATTAATATATATTAACTAAGTGACAATTTTCACTAACTTTTTAGATATTAAGTGTAAAACATATAGTAATGAAAACAGCATACTTGTAATTAAAGATTAGATAATTACTAATGAATTTCTTATGGAGTCCAAAGAATTATCCAAGTATACATAAAAACAATGAATTCAAGTAAGTGGAAAATGGATTCCTTACAAATGGTACTAATTGAACACATCAGGAAGAAATAGTCCCATAAAAATATAACTCTAGAAGAGTAAAGACCTAAATAAAGGTTCAAACTATAAAAACACACAAAGAAAATTTTGTTTATATTACTATGAGGTTTAATTAAAACAAATGATGACAATTTCTTTCTACACAAAAGAAAAATTGGTGCAGAGACAGAGCACTTGTCTAGTATGTCTGAAGGCTCTGGATCTGGTGTGATAATGAAAAGAAAATCTGCATAATATTTTTGAAAGTAATCTTAAGAAAGTATCTGTAATGCAGAAAATTTTAATATCCTTAAGGAAAATAGACAATATAAAAAGATTTACTAAAAAATAATCCAACAAAATATAAGCAAATATTATAAATACAGAAGTGGGAATGATAAAGAATAAGTAAATATGCATACATGTTCACAGTAGTAAGTAGTCAAAATATTACAAAATTAATGCAAAATACTTTTCATCCATGGGAGAATAGTGAATTTCTAAAATCTTTTAAAAATATTTACTATGTGCATAAAATTCTAGCAATACATGTTATTTTTTTATACAGAAGCAGGAAAGACTTGGCAAGCAAGATGTATTGAAGCACTACTTATAAAGCAAAGGCTAGAAATGCTGATCATCAATGGAAGAAATTTAGTAAAACTTTATATAGTAACACTTTATATTACATAATGTTATTCAAGTCTTTCAAAAGGAATGTATCTGGTATAATTATATTTTTGTTTTTAATGAGAAAGAGAGGAAAAAACATATGGGTTTATATAAACTGCATAAGCTGTGATCCACACATCGTTAAAAATTTGGAAAATTCGTAATATGATTGTCAACTAATAAGCAGGTAGTTTTAGAGTAAAGAATAAGTGAATATTATTATTTTTCCTACACTGAGTTGTTAAACCAGCATTACTTTTAAAATTATGAAGTATAAAATATTATTTAGCTATATGTAATATATGATATGCATAATTAGCACACAAATATGTATTAAGCACCTTAAACAACATTATTTGCAATTAAATGTTTAAATTTTCTATTCTATAATTGTAAGTGTTGTAATCGTTTAGCTGGAAAGAACATATTCAAGAATAAAAACAGAAGCATGTGTTGTAATAATTTAGATAAAAAGAATATATTGAAGAATCATAAAGGAAGCACATGGGTTTGGGGAAGCCAAAGCATACTTTGTGAAGGACTTCTCTGATCTTACAACAGCCATTTAAAAAAGAGAACTGTAAACATTTTAGCACAAGTTAGAGACAATCCATATTCTCTCCTAGTTTCAGGCAAATGAAAACATGCTAGAACACCCTAATGGACCTTTGTAGACCTTCACCCATCTCCAACCCTTTATTTGTCTTAGGAGAGGACTTTCTGTATGTGACAATAAGAGGTCTTGCATTGATTTTCTTAAAGACAGTTTCCAATATTGTGTGAGTTTCAGACTCCATATATCTGGACATGTATATTTTTGAAGGTAAACTCAATCACAAATAACTGTTCTGTAATCAAAGATGTCACTATCATTATACAAACTATATTTACACTTGATGAGAGACACTTTATTAGATAATCAGTAGCCACTTGTAAAAATAATGTAAGAAATTTTCTTCTAAGAATGTGAAAACATACTGTCCTCTAGAGGTTTAGTATTTAATGGATCACAGAAAAGATGTAAAGCACACACCGAGTAGACTAGCACAATAAATGAATGTTCAGAGATCTAAAGACAAGGACAGCATCATTTACTATGCACTGGACAGATATGGAAAAGTTACATGAGAGTCGCAGCATTGAATGATGCTGGTAACCACCTAAGAACTGTCAAGGAGAGGGGGATCATCCAAAGATGGGATCCAGGATCAAAAACGGAGAGCAGGGTCATCATGGACACACTTGGCATAGTTCTGAATTCACTAGGCAAGACACTCAGTGATAGGAAAAAAGGCATCAGACTAATTTAGCCTGATGCCATTAGAACATTTAATTAACCCAATTCTCCGTTTGTAACTCAATGCTCTTGAGAAACTTTTGCTACTTGGCTTCCTAAGTGACTGTGACCATAAAAAGGGCCAATATTCTGATCTTTGTGATGTAATATAATTTCCGTACATCAACAAAATGGAATTTCAGTTTTATAAATCAACCACATTAGCTTGGAGCATATGATATGGATTCTGAAAAGTGAATTCACTTTCATTAACTTAGGGGTCTGAGGCTGACAGCCAAATCCCAGGCTGTGACAAAATCAGAGGAGGACCTCTTAGTGTAAAGGTACCTATGTCTATGAGACTACTTTACATTCTGATTAGCATTTTAATTATCTGTACAGTGCACTCTCAGAAATTTTGCTAAAAAATGAAATGACCAAGATAAATATAAACAAAATGTACATAGAACAGAAAAGGATTATTTTTACATTTCTTTTATCAAATATAAATTCATGCCAAATTACATTTATTTTTAAAATATCAATTCACTTCATATAACAAATGACTGGGCTTCTAAAATTTGTAAAACTATTTTACCTATGTGACTGATTATGAAGGTTTAGTGATCCGGCCTGGTGCATCTCTTCCAACTGTTTCCTGTTTCCAAAGTATAAAGCAAGATCCGTAGCGATGATGGCTTTTCGGATGATCTCCAGCACCTGCTCATACTCACTGGAGCTCAGGGAGGAGAAGATGTTGTGCCCTTCCAACTATGGAAAAACATAGAGAGAGCCACCAGTAGCAAGCTTCAAGCTCTAGTCTCATGCCATTTTCAGTTATTTGTTGCAATATGGTCAGAAATGCCACTGATTGTAAATGATTCAGCTTAAATGATTGTATTAGAAATTATATTTTGGTTTATCTTTTAAACTACAACAATAAATCTCGCACTAAAACTATTTTAACAAAGGGAAGAACATTTGCTACTACAATACTCCAGTGACTTAAACACATCTAGTTCTTTAAATATCTGTTATACCTCCAAGGTAGAAAAATATAAAATATATAGAGACTTTGTCTTTGAAGATAATTAAAAGCTTTAGTATTTTGTATATTATAAATTCACCTGCCCCCTGACAACTTCAGATTGTATGACAAACCACAATTTACTTTTATTTTTCATATAGAATAATGTGTCACAACCTCAACATGTTCATTCAGACAACTTAAAAAGCTTTTTATAAGTAACAGCATATTTACATACATAAAACCATACATTTCCATATACACTAATCATTATAGGTGTAACAACTTTAGGGCCACTTGTTTCTATTCTCTTGGAGAGCTGTAAATGACAGAATATCACCTTCATAAAGAACAAAGTATTGGTAAATATTGGTAATTTATATTCTATTATCTCTAAATTGTTCCATCTATTTTATCTAATTTTTTTTCTTTTTGCAGTACCTAGGATTTAGTCCTGACTTTTACAATAAGCAACAACTCCAGCCTTTATAAAAAAAAAAATAATAACTTGTTTGAGAAAGGGTCTTACTCAAACTTGTGAACCTTTGAACTCAGCCTTCTGAGTAGCTGGAATTATAGGTGCTCACCCCCATGCCTGGTTTAAAAAACAAAACAAAACAAAAATTTTTACAGTAATTTCTTCTGAGAATTTTAAGAGTTTTTCTTTTTGGTAGAAGCTTTTGTTCAAATTTAAAAAGTGACATAATAAAGATGAAAGGGTTTTGGCCCAGACAGGATACTGTAGCCAGTAAAGCCTCAGGCAGAACCAAGGAGCTCCATCTCCCCCACCCCTAGGAATTTACCTGTGGTGCCAAAAGAATACCAATGGGCTACCTGTGCATCACTAATGCCCCTTAGGTTCCACCCCAAACCTAGGCTACTTATATGCCTCCACTCCACGTGTTCCACAGAGAGATCGCCGACCCCAAGGGAGATGCCGTGCCCCAGGAGATTGGGGTTGTCTCTCCCCACATTCTCAAAATAAAGGTCATTTATATTTCATACTTCTTATCTTTTCAGCCGCCACCAGTCCCCCACAGTTCTATTAAAAGATATACTCAATTTTGAGGTCCATCAATTATTTTTAATGACTTCATTACTGGACATCTTGCAAAGAAAGCCACTGTTTCACCTTTGAAATACAGATACACATGTGCATTTTGGTTGCCATCCGAATCTATTTAATCTGAAACTCTTTCGGATGTTGAAAAGTATCTTACAATAAACACAGCAAATGGATGCAGTTCTAGTTGGTCATTTTCCTAACAATGTAAAGCATACATGTGGGATGTCCCACAGCTTACCGAATACTTTGAAACTCATGATTTTAATTTCATTTTATAAAGTTATTTCCTTCCTTTCCTCCCTTTTTTCTTTCTTCTCTCCCTCTCTTCCTTCCTTCCTTCTTTTTGTTACTGGGAACTGAACTCCAGTCCTTTCCACAGTTTTTATTTTGAGCTAAGTTGGCCTTGAATTTGTGAACCATCTGCCTCAACCTTTAGAGAAGCTGGAATCCCAGCAGGCATGTACCACAGCGTCTGGTGCTTTGTTCGTCTTCAGTAGTAAAGAAAACTACGTGAACACGTTTATTAAAGGTCTTTATAATGAAGTTGTTATCAGAAATCTTTTACTGCCTCCTTCAATGTTTTGCAAAAGTAAAGGAAACAAATAAATAATAATTCCCTCCTGTCTTTAAGAGCCTTTGAATTGACAAGAGTGAAGTCAATGATGCAGCTATTGGATCAAGCATTAATGGTAACAATGCTGTTAATAGACATACAATACTTCTAGTGACATTTTGCTTCAAAAAATAAAAGCAAGGAAGGGAGATAAAAGAAACCAAACATATCAGACAGATAAACCTCTTATAAATATTTTTTTAAACTGACAGTTTCACATTAGTTGATATACAATAAACCTTTTAAATGCTATAATATTTTATACACCAACTGATAAATGTATTATTAATCCTAGGTCACACATTTAATGTTAATTCAAGCTAACTAATCCCATTGCATGGAAATTAAAAATGAAACAGCAAACTTTTATATTCAGTATGACTAGAATGGCTGCAAATGTTCTAAGTATCTCAGGTCTGAGAGAAGGTAATGGGTATAAAGAATGCCGAAATTGGCTCTGATGCTGAGAGCTTAACTAGTGACTCACTTGAATGCAAGATATTTAAGGCCACTCCCAGCCCTCAGCCAGGGAAATCCTACGTGTTTTAAATGTTTTAGTCATGCTGGAGCATTTGGGAAACCCTTCTTGCCTCAGCTATGTCTCTCACAAGTAAAAATCACAGTAGAAGTTCTCATTTTTTAGCAGATATTTAGCCTATAGTGCACCAATTTATCAAAGGACGTTAACAGTTTGATATTTACTGTATTCAAGGCCCTAAGCAATATAAATTCATTTTCTAAGGACTGTTTGGTTCAGTGGAACACACAAGGGATATGAGCACTCAATTAAAATAAGGTGGCACGGACTATACTACTGAATTAAACCCAGGCCTATGGACGATACGGGAGGTGTTTGCTGGTAGTCACTGGTTAAGGACACACGGCATACAGAGACCACAGAAACCATCCTAGCTAGTGCAAACTCAAAAATTCCCATACAACTGAACAACCTGAACAGGGAAAAGGTAAGAATAAAAGGAAAAGTTTTACCATAAAATATTTTGGTAAAATAATGTCCAGAGGATAAAAAGAAGCCATCGATAATTTTAGGTTAGATGCTGATAGGATGAGGTACGTGCTTCAAAACAATTACTGTTGTAAGGGTGTGGACTAAAATAGGTCAGAACCAAGGCAAGGAGAAAAAAATTGATGATTTTTTTTCTGGAAAATAAAAAATATTATCATTAATTATAAAAAAAATCCTCCTAACTCTATATTGCTCAACTTAGTGAAAGAAATTCTGATGGAAGGAATCTCATATGGAGACTTCTCTCCCTCAGGCCAACCAGCGCAGGTATAGATCCCCAGAATTCTGCCCTGACGGTTTTAAAAATCACTACTCTAGAAAGCCACAGGAACAGGCTGCATTATACAAGTCTTTGGAGTGACAAGAGTGAAGTCAGTGATATAACTATTGGATCCAGCATTCATGGTAACAATGCTTTTAATAGACATACAATACTTCTAGAGACATTAATTATCTGGTGCATCAAATCACAAATTAGGAAGCAATGTAATACCGTAATTAAAAGCTAAAGTTTTAGAGTCAAATGATTCTAGTTTTTTTTTTATCTGTTCAGCCACTTACTTGCTGTGTGACAAATGGACAGGTTACTTATATTTTTATGAATGTTATTCATGAATGTAAAGTGGAATGAATAAAAATAATACCTTGTAGGGATACTATAAAAATAAAAAAATATTAAAATGTACAAAATATCTAGGTTTCTAGTTCACAATAAGTATTAAATATCTGATTAAATCATGCTGATGATAACAAAAACTATATGCATTAGAATTAAGGGAAAGTTGGAAGGAAAAAAATGAATGAGCAAAACATAAATTCCTAAAACTTTGGCAATTTTGATGTCCAAAGACCAATTTCTGTTTAGAAAACATCTTCAGAAAAGCAAGGATTTAAGCCAGCTTCCGTATCTTTCATTTTAGGTTATTAGTAATTGTAATATAGAACATAAGCACAATTTTGCTATAATTGGAACATGCAATTCTAAATTCTACCTAGTGCGGAGCACTAGGAAAAACTCAGCCAATTCAAAGAAAAAATAGTGTTATATTAAAGGAATGAAAAAGTTTTGGAATCCTAATATGTTGAAAGTATAGATGACTTTCTAAAACCAGATAATACTTCAAAAGCATTAGCTAATTTAAGACCAATAAAATAAACTTTTAATAATGCGAATAATCATTTCTAATTTGTCCATTTTCTAAAACTTGACTTCTGATTACTTAGTAAGGGGTATTCACAAAAAAGCCAAAAATACAAAAATAAGAGTTTTAATATTCAGGATGACGATTAATATTTCATTATGATACAGACTAAAATTATTTAATCTTTTAACAATAACTGTTCTATTACAATCTCTAAAAAACATGTTTTAGCTAAGAAAGTTTTCTACTTTCCTGTATGTCACTGCCTACACAAAATAATCTCCTTGCTTGGAGGAATCCCACACGCCTTCCACAGTCAAGTAAGCAGCTTCCCTAAGGAAACAGTCTACTCACCTGCTGCTAAACATGTCGTGTGCTTTCTGTGCTGCCACACTGTTCTCCCCACTCTGACTCCCTTCTAACCCACTTTCTAATTTCCATTCCCATTTATTCCCATAATTACAAACCTAGAAGTGAGGCTCTGTTTATGGAAATGAATAAAAGGCATTGGCTATACACTGCTGAGGAGACAGAAAGCCAAGCTCATAAACGCAAAATTTCAAGTTAAAAAATCAGTAAGATGTATGAATGTTTGTGGTGCTCAGAAGCTATGGAAAAAAGGCACAATGCTGTGTCCCAGCTATGTGGCAATTTTTACCATTAAGTAATTGTACCAGAGGAAGCAATGCTCAAGTTAAGCCTAAAAGATAAGAAGAAGCTGGGTACAGGAGGGGGGTTAAAAAGGGTTTGGATTGCCAGAAGTATAGTAGGAACTGTGTCCCTCCAACAGACAGGAACTCGTTATTAATATCTTGCTATCAATTACAAAAGTAGGAATCTACTCCCAATGCATGGAGAACCAATGAGGGCTTTTAAACAAGACAGTAACACTTTCA